CTAATTTCTTTATTGTGGTAAAGGTCATCTTTTCGGCCACCTATGACCACAAAAATCTGTGGTGTTGCACTTATTTGAGCAATATATGAAAACAAAAACCACCTGAACAGTTCAAGCTGTGGTATGTAATGCACCACAACAATCTAAGCCTTTCAGTGCTGCTGAGGTTTCCACCATAACAACAACAAAAATTGCCTTTTAATGAGCGGTTATGAAAATAAACAACCACTCACTTTACAGAAGGCATGACAGAAGTCGGACCTGCTGAGGTGTTGTATACAGAGCTCAGGTATCATGAGGCTGAGGGACTTTCTGCCCACAATAATCAGACTGGAAAAGTCTTCCTGCCTGGCAGAGAGGAGACAAACTTCACTTGCCTGTGTGCTCAGACTTCCAGTCCATAACTATCTCCTACTGATTAGCCAAGGAGCCTCTGATAGCAGCAGCAGAGCAGGCTGGCCAGCAGCCACCTCTCTGCAGCTGAAACATGCTGAGTGTCAGCCAGTTGATGGACTACTATAAAGAAGCACTGAAACAAATGAACTAATGCAATAAACTTCAGATTTATCCTTAGTAGTCTCTCAACTTTTAGTAGTTCTTGCACATATGTGTCTATAAAATCAACCCTCATACCTGCTGGGATTTTATTTTTTCTTTTTCTGGGAGACTCTTATTAATGCCAATATAACCATTTTCATCTTTCCCTCATTCACTACATAAAACCTGCTATATCTGACTTGATAAATACAGGTTTTGCATTGTCTTCTGTTTTCATATATATTTTCAAAATCAACTCCTTTTCAACTTAACCTTTCCACAAGCTGATTTCTAACATTCTTCCAAAATACCTTGAATCTGACAGGTAAATGGCTGTATTTTTCCTAGTTTTGTCTCCTGGGACAGCTGAAGTGCAAGATAAACAAACTTCCCTCCCGCTCTCAAAAGCTTCATAGAGCATTAGTAGGACTGCATCTCTTCAACACTTATTAACTGGATCTATAATGTTTCAAAAGAAATGCATATGCAGAGAATTCTACTGGGGGAGTCTAAGAGGCTGGGAAGCTGCTCCATCACAGCAATTTGCATTACTGACTGGTGCTGGTTTTGACACTAAGCACTTGGCTCAAAGAGTGTGAAATTAGCAGACTCATGTTGCTACTGCTCCATGAACAATCACTGCATCATTGAAGAAGAATGATTACCAGCTGTCACCTCATTTTCACCTTATCCAGTCTATATTCTAAACTTTCCAGCAACAGTAGCTTTAACCCTGATCTTTACTCAGCCAAAGATGACAGGATCTGCAAAGCAACATAGGAACTGAACTTAATTTTAACAATTCCATTATTAACTTCGGGTTAAATGCTTTATGTGCCACAAATTAGGACATAAATTATTACTTTTTGTACTAATCATTTTTTCACACAAAGAGAGTTTTATGTCAGCTCCAGTACCTAGCAAACCAAGGATATCTTTACCTCAGGGAGTCAAAAATTTGGCATCTTGCAGTTAAAAACTTTTATTTTAAGGTCTAAGTACCGAGACATATACATTACACACAATATTGCACAATTCCAGAAAGGAAAAGTCCAGGCATTTTCCTTCTGATTCCTATAGGAAATACAGAGTTACAGAGCAAATTGTGAAGCACAATGTAGAAAGATCAAAGCTAAACAATCACAGGTCTATGAGAGAAGTATAAAGAAAGGAGATGAAGGAGTACTTTAAAACAGTAGAAGGATTCACTCATTAAAAAGATATTATCTACACATACACAGTTTTATTCTATAACATCACCTAAAATAGCATATAACAGCAAGTAAAAAGTGAAAGCTCATGCTTGCTGAAGGGAAGGTGTCATGGTAGTTTGAAATCAGAAGTTGGTGTGCTAGAATCATATCTCTTGCCTAACTTGATGAGTTAAAAGAGCATTCAGCCGCCTAACTAACAGTATCTGAGAGGAATTAGAGCCCAGGAATCTGATTCTTCACTCCATACCAGATTAATTCTAAGAGGCATGGAGAGTCACATCCTTTGCTGGGTCCCATGAATACATCCCCTCTTTCACCTCTCACCCAGGGCAGATATTGGGTGATGCCTGTTTAATAGAAGAAGATGAAGAAGAAGTCTTGTCTTCAGTTCTCCAGCAGAAGCATTGTGAGAAAGGAAGTTATGAGTTCTCGTGTACAAGCAGTAACTGTCAGTAAGAAGCAGCAATTATCAGAGAGACTCACCAAGGCTGCCACCACGACCAGTCACTGATGCACATCAACACTTGGACACAAGAGTTTTAACTGCCATGCATTCCAGTGTCTGATCTTGAGACTTGGTCAAACAAAAAAAAAGTGAAGTTGACCATGAAACTCTGTCAGTATCAGCAAGGAAAAGGAATAGGTTTTATGACATATTGTTGGACAATGTACATTGCTGTCCTTTCCTGATTTTAGCATGAAATCCGGTAAAAGTGTTCCTTTTTTTTCCTCCTCAAAACCAGGTGAGAAAACCAAAAGGAAATGCAGACATTTGCACACTGACAGAGCTTAGCTCAGAGATGGGGACAGGATATAGAATCTCACATTTCAAAACTATAAGACCTTCTCACTTTTCCTAAAATAGTCCCTGAACATGAGCATCAGGACATTAAAGGTTACTATAGGCAGGTACTAAATGTGAAGAATTACAGGATGCCCTAAGTTAGCACAGAACACAGCAAGACAGAAGAGTAAAGTTAACCAAAACTGCATAGCCTGTGCAAATGAGTCTGGTTTACCCTGACTGTGAAATCAAGGTGATATGATAAATCAGTTCAGTTGCCATAGAAGAAACATATATCCCTTCAATGTTTTTTACACTGACAATGTAGTTGAAAGGAAGAAAAGTAATGATATAAAAATGTAAAACTGGATCTGCTAATTAGTCATTGTTATTTTCAGGAAAATGAAAAAGAATTAAGATATATTTATAAAGTGCTTAGATTTTTTTTTGGAACATTTTCCTTAGAGCTATACAACGGTATTAGCTAAATGTACATAGGGATACAAATAGATGGATAAATATAGGGCTAAATACATTTTCAAGAAATATTCCCTTGTCTTCTATTGAAGCCAACATTATATCTTTGCTGCTAAAAATCCAAAAGGTAATGCTTTAATTAAAAGCTTACACTTATTATAAATGTAAAAGAGTAAATTACAGCTGTTTGTTGCCTTTTCTTTTTTTTTTTTTTTTTTGTTATAACAGAGGAAATTTTTCCAGAAGCACATGTTAGATATCTGTAAATAGTGAGCAACACTGCACGGGCAGAAGTTACAGAAAGAAAGCAATTTACAGGGGGATACTTCCTTCTGAACTTTTTGGTTAAGAAAAAGCGACCAAATCTTGAGTTCTTGATAAAGAATTTTCTAATCCAATATGACATATGGTGAGTGTGTGAGCACGTGTTGGAGGAGGAGATGGTGGCTCAAAGGATTAGTCATTTGCCTTTCACCTCTGGAAGCATAGTTAAACTCAGTCCTGACCAGAGCTGCACAGTATATTCCAGATGGCTAAAGTGGGCCTAATTAAAATGAATTCAGTGATGTCACCTCGGATCTAAGTGAATTGCATGCACCACTCATTTGGCATTTTGGCAATGTCAGTTCACAAATGAAATAACCAGATTAAAATACTCCCTTAAGTCTTTTGGGACAAGTCACACTGCTTGGAAATACATGCTATCATAACTGGAAAACACACTTTGCATTATCTCTTGTTTTAAATTCTAATTAATGCATTATTCTAAACTAAATAAACATTAAATGAGACTTGCATGCGAGGTAAATCAGTGAAGCAACCTTTCAGTCAGATGATTCCAGGGATACACACCAATTTAAAGCAGCTGGGAATCTGGCAAAATCGGTTAAAAAAATCTTTGACAATATATTTTTCCTTTTATGCAATGTAAATCTAAACAATACACATCCCAAATACAAAGAAATAATCAGAAGTGCAAAGTATAGTCAACTCAAACTTTTCACAGAAAACCATTTTTTACAATTTTTCTCTGAGTTAAAAATTAACATTTTCTAATCTTCACAGTTTGAGAAAGTGTGACTGGAAGCAGGAGGAAAGACCTTGTGTACCCTTGTGTACCATTGTAGCCAGGAGTCTAATAACATCTGTGTATTCTGAGACCCTGAGATGTGGATATGCTGAAGTAGGGTAGCTTTTTCTTCCCCACTTCATTTAAGTTCACAAATATTTTGTTTCCTAGCAAGGGTGTTTTCCCCCATCTGAAATAACGACTTTTTTCTTGTAATATAATACACTCAGGAATTGTATCCTCATGTATATTGTGAGGGTTGATTTTTTTCTACGTTTGTTTTTTCTTCCAACATTTCTTCAACGGATAGTGAACTGCTGGGCCCACAGAGATCTCCAGACCACCAGCTCATGTATTTGAAAGGCATCTGTTTATTTTTAAAATGCAAATGCAGCCTACCTCAAAGACTGACTTGCAAGAAATGAACAATCTGAACAAGTCAAGAGGTTTCCAATCAGGAGCTGTGTTCCTCCTTTATATCAGGCTATGATCACTTGCTGTCAGAACCACTTAAACAATATCCTGGAACCTGAATGAAGTCCCCCCACAATTAAAATGAGCAGGATAATCCTGCAAGAATTATTCAGGCAAATCATTTTTCACACAGTTTAAAGTAATGATAAGGTCATTTACAAAAGAAATCAGCGCCTTTGAAATGCTGACTTGTAGACAGAGGAGTGCCTGGAGGAGGGCCATAGATAACAGTGAAGACTGGCCTCCTAACACTACCCTCGCAGCCTTTGGAACTGATTCTGATGAAGAGAAGGCCCAATAAGGTTAATACCCCTACTTTGATCTCTGTCAAAGCGTACCAGCAAGAATTAATTTACATTTCAGATGAAAAAGGTTGACAGCATGAAAAGGCATCTTGTTTCTGGTATGTGAATGTGCTGTAATAGATCGGGAATTCTGAAAGGAAGTTCTGAGGAAGCTAAAGGGATAAGCTGAGCGGCTGCTTTTATTGGGAAAGAGATGAAAGGAAAACAAATTTCAATATGCGCTGTTCTGTAGAAACATGTAAGCCAAATGCTTCCTAAATTCCAAGGCCTGCTTGAGCGGGGCAGGGGGGAGGGAAAGGAGAGGGAAGTACATACAGTTTAATTATATGGTTTTGCTAATGTCTGGATGACAAATGCAAACAATTTATCTCAGTGCCTGAAATGGCTCATTTAGAAAAAATCCAAAGGTGATCATACTCCATTTCACTGGAAAGCTGCCCTGAACTACAGTCACACTGGAAGATGTGCAGGGAAGGGAGAGTTGCTTTTGTCTCGGTGTCACTAGGCACTTGGACAGTGTAATGCAATGCAAACAACAGAAAGACTATCAACCTCTTTTGAAACCTGGAAAATGGCCATGATTAGCAAGCATAAGCTTTGCTTTGAAACACAGAATAATTAGCACGTACAGAAGAGAAAACGTGCACAAGAAGAATTTTCAAATAAGAAGTCCTAGATATAGGTTTCCAAACGCAGTCAGAAACATGCTGAGGATTAATACTCTTACACCCTTTTGACTAGAGCGCCAAGGATAGGAGGAGCAGCCAGTCTCATTAATACAGAAGTGCACTGGGTCACTCCTAACCCTACAGTCCTGACACTCATTCACCCAGACTGATCACGGCAACAGTCAAGTGCCAGGTTACAAAGGAAGACACTGCATGTGTCAGAGGGAAGAGTGCTAACAGCAGTTCTCCAGCATTAGGTCCAGAGGGCTCATCGGTGTCTAAATTCACTCCCACTGCCTCTGCTCTGCCACGTTCAATACAGCATCTAAGAGATGGCAGGAAGCAATACAGCTCTGAATCTTTCCCATGTGTGCTAACAACAGAATAGATCAGTTACTTTCTCTAAAGAGCTAGAAATCTGTCTGGATAAAACTCTAAGGCAGAATGTCCCCTACAGTCTCCGAGTGATACTGCTACACACCAGCTTCCTGGTGGAGATAACTTCCACCTTAAGGAGCTGGTCATAGTGGGACACTGATGGGTCAACAGTTTCACTTTCCTTTATTCAACAAAAGGCTGTTGTAAGTCAGGTAATCAAAGCTCAGGTATGTATACACTTGTAAATGTAGCAAATACTCCAGAAAATAGTGGCAGGGGGAACTTTAAGATCTACTCTCTGTGCTATCATGGAAACAACTGAAAATGACAACACAAAGGAAAGGAAGAATGGGAGAGAGTACTTGTGCAGTCCTTCAGTGCTTGCTGCAATAGGAGAAAAAGTTTCTCCTTAACAGTTCTCCATTTAATAGAATATTCTGCATTTAACCCTAGAGCTTCATGATTCTGCATAACACTATACATGCAAAGCTATAAATTACTATTTGATCCTAATGATAGTCTGTTCCTTTCTGTACATAGGTATTTTGTCAGAGTGATGCTTAATTTCAGCATAGCAAAGTCAAACAGAAAACCAAATGAATTTACCAAGAATGGCTTGAGAAAAAAGTAAAAGAATATTTAGAATGCATCTTTTTCATATTGACTTCAGACTATAAGATACAGATTGAAGAGGTGACAAAGCTTAAGGAACTGTAGCACACGAAGCTGGTAGAATAGAGTGGTATCTTGGTTTATCTGTTAATACATTTGCTACAACTAATTTTTGATCAGTTACTGTCTTTCAACCTGCAGTTGGACAGGGAAGGTGTATTACACTGCATCATATGGAGGCTGCTTCATGTTGGCAGCATCTGAAAACAGCACTGAGTTCACAGCATTGGTTCTTAGATTCCTGTGCCATATGGTACTCTGCTCTCTACTAGAGACCTACACAGCCCTATGGGCCTGTTCCTCCAATAATCTCTTTAAAGTTTATTCAAATTCATATTGATATGGCTGCATAGGAGTCTGGCAGAGAGTCAAAAGATTGGTCAAAGCTGGCAAACTCAGCAAGCAGTCAAAACAAAAACCTGGCACGCTGCCACGATCAAGGCTTCACACAAAGACAGAGTAGTGTATGTCCAGTGCCTCCCACACACACTTTTAGTCAAATCAACCCAGCACCTCATACTGGCTCTATATGTAGTTGAATCACACTGACTGTGCTCAGAAGAATCTTAGAGAATTAACTCAACAGCTTTTAATTAGCATGTTTTTCTTCCAGAGAAGTTCTCACAAAAAGCCCAAAGTGCCTGATCCTGATACCTGTCACCGATGTCATTTGATACTGAAGAACAAATGATCACAAGTAATATTTTTGATAGCTTTTGTTTGGACTGTATTTTTATTCTTATTTTTGGCTATAAACACTGACACACAAAATCACCCACAGAAAAATAGGTGTTGGCAATTGGAATACTGTTTTAATTACCTGCTTGAATATGTATAGCAGCATCAGTTCTTCTGTTCCTTATTTCCTTGTACTTCCTGCGAGCTTCATATCCTCTCCAGGCTAAAAATACAAAACCATGTGCTGGAAATTACATTTATTTAAGGAAGTGCTACAGAGTCTACAGAGTCAGAGATGTGCTGATACTTTCATCCTTCCTGCCATAACTACTCCAGATCCCACCTCCAATTCTTCTTACCCACCCACCCACATGTTGAACCCTGGGTTCACAACTGCAATATTCACATCCCCACAACTTCAAACACCATTTCACTCATCCAAAGCTTAATTGTCACCATGTGCTCACTGATGTTCTAACCCAAAAGACAAAGGTAAGTGATCATCCCTGTGCATGTAGTTCTTGAAATTCACTATAAGAAATCCTGCTAAATCACTGATACTCAGCCTCTCAGGCCCATCTTACGATGTATGTCTGGAATTCTGGTATATGATGAGGGGTGGAGGGACATCCATTCCTGCATTTCAGCTCTGTGCTGCATGCTAGTATAGCCATACCTAACAATATCTTCATTCTGTGCACAGGCATCACATCTAAAATACTACACTATTTAAACAAAGACATTACCAAATGCTAAGATGATGCCTTAGAAGTAAAGCAATAATATTTGCATCAGTTATCTGGGGAGAAAAGCACCTCTGGTCATTTTGATTTCATAATAAACTAGTGTAGATGAATAAACAATGTACATGTCATTTAACAGATTGAAACGTAAAGACACTCAACGAAACAGAGAATGTGAACATTTACCTGCTTGTATGGTAATAGCACTGATTTCTCTTTTATCTCTGACTTTCTTGTATCTCCTTGCTCCAAGCCATCCCTTGATATAGGCTTGCATGACCACCACCCTGCCTATAACTTCTCGCAGGAACAAATTTAACTGCTCTATATGGTAATACTTCAGAAAAACCTGGAATGGAAGAACAACAGAACAAAAAAATCAGTATAACGAAAACACAGTAACATAACCTCTTGTATTCTGTTTTCATCAATCCTATAGCAGCCTATTTTAGGGCATCATTGCTGAGAAAACTAACAAAATACTGACTGTAGATATCATAGCAATTTTGTGAATCAATTATTTGCTCTCAGTGTGCTTGTGGAATTTCATTCTTTCACTGATTGTAATCACTCCCTTGCAAAATAAACCCCATATTTACCTCCTTTACAAAGTAAATTGGCCATGGAGATATTTTCATGTATCAACAATTTTGAAATACAGCCTTTCTTGACAGTGGAACAATAAATCCTGGGTTGAATTTGGGTTTAGACATAATATTGCTTAAAAGAATTCTGCTTCAGGAGACAAATCCTATGGGTGCTTACATACATTTTATCTGAGTCTTGAGCAGGAAAGTTCTCCTTGTTTTTCCTTTGTACGCTATAAACCAACTCAAAATACTGTGCAACATCTTTTCTACAGAAGCCTTCCACTCCATTTTAAACCATGAACCAAGGCTTCTGATGGAGCTGGAAGGAGCTTACCTGAAGTTCCACAAACCCATAATGTACCAATCAGGCTCACAGGATGGGCCAGAGTGCGAAGTTTCAGCTGAAGTTTCAGCCATGTCATGAGGAACTTCAGGAAGCACTACAACAGCAGGCACTGACAGGTGTACTGTCCTTCTCAAGGCAGCCATGTGCAGAATGTGCTTTGGGGAGGGACCCAAAGCTTCCCTCTTGCAGCTCTAACTCAACAGGCTTGGGAAGCTCATAACCTGGGAGGCTAACTGGAGCAAATTCCTTGCTCTTTTATTCATTCATGCAGTACTTTTAAAATCACTATCAGTCATATTTTCCTAAAAGGATACTATCCTTGAGAAGATGTTAGCACTCTCTACCTTGGTTTTCCCAAGAATCCAGTTGTCTAGTTTAGATTTCTCCAAAATGGCGAGACAGTTTTCTCTGCTACCAAGGGGAGTCTCATGTGCCTTGAATGCAAGGTAATAATACCTGCAAAACCAAATGACAAAGAAAAGAATTGAATTGACAATCAATATGTATTTTCACCATTCTTCTCTAGCTCAGAGCTGTATCTTTAGAACTAATAGGCCAAAATCTCCCTTATACTCAGTTCTCTTCATAAATCATGACACAGATGTCATGAACAGATATGTGAGCATATACATGATATAGGAAAATAAGTGGTACCATATTGGTGACAAGAACCTGCTGCATTCTTGCAATCCCCAGTCAGCACAACCATCCATGAGGGTCTTTCATAAACCATAAACCAGTGCAACTTAGGAAACACTCAAGGTTGCTCTGAATTTTTCAGGCTAACGAGTGAATAAGTAACAGGAGAAGAAATAAAATGGCTAGAAATCAGAGTAATAGAAAGGAAAGCAAAAAAA